GGGGGGGGGGGGTGGGAGAAGTCGAGTTGGCAGCTCTGTTGTCGGTACCACAGCGACTCGCTCGTGTCCGCGCGCCCGGGGCCTGAGACGCGGTCGTGTCCCAGACGCCACGCGTCGGGGGGCCTGTGCCCGGGGTGGCACCCGCGCGACCCGGGGCACGTCTCCTCTCCCGGCGCGGTGGCGGGACTTTGTGAGATGCGGCGCAGCATGGGGTAGGTGGGGGCGGGGGGGGGGGGGGTCGATCAGGGCAGAACGGGGTAGTTGGACTTCGGCTCGAAATCCCACCCCCGTCGGCGCCCGCGCCGCCCCGGCCCCCGTGTCCTGCCCCCTCGGGGCGGCCGGAGGGATGAGAGGAGCACAGCCCCGGCACCGGGCTCCGCACGAGGACCGCCCGGACCTGGTGGGCTGACGAAACCGGGCACCGCCACCAGTTTGAATGCGATGCTGGCCGAGAAAAAAACCGCAGAGCCAGGGCGACGCGGGGGGAGGGAGGGGGGGGGGGGGGCGGGGGGCACGCCCAGTTGTCGGCCAGCCTCTCGCGCATTCGGGCGCGGTGGACACGTTCGTTTGCTCGCCCCCCCCCCCCCCCCCCTCTTCTGAGGTCGGCCACCATCAGGACGGCCCTTCGCTCCCAGGGCGTCCCCGGCACGACCACCGGTCAGCGGGCTAGCTGGGTGCCACATCATTGTCCTCCGGCCCCCTGACGGATCGCACCCTATTTCCTGGGAGGCATATGCCCAGCGGGCGGGGGACGGGGGATCGCTGGCCGACACCCGCCCCGGCCCCGCTCCTACACACTGATGCCCACGCTCACAGACGCGCGCTCACAGAGACACATGCGCAAAGTAAGATGCATGGCCCCCGGACGCGGTGCCACACGCATTCTCTAACGCGCCTTCATTTTACATGGCGCCCGGGGTTGCGTCCCCCGGCTGTAGCCCAAGCTCCCCGCCCACCCCGCAAGCGACGCATCCGCTCCCGACTTGGCTCCTGCGGTCTCACGAACCGGTGCATCCACCCCCCCCCCCCACACTCCTGCAGGAAGGAACCGCTGACGATCGGCCCCCATGCAGCCGTCGCCGGTCTCCTCGGCACCTCGGATGTACCCAGGCATTCGGCCGCCTCTCCCGGGCTGCGGGGGGGGGGGGCAACACGCCCGGCTGCCTCTTTGGGCCGCGGGGAAAAAGGGGTCGGGCCGACCCCGCATGCCCACAGGCGAGGAGGGGGGCAGGGGGAGCTCCGCCCAACCCGCGCGGCCCGTCCTCCGCCATGCGCCTCGTCTATGCCCGGGGCATTTGGTAAGCGTGCGAAGCACAAGACATTCTACGTAGGAAAAGGGCTTCCCCAGGTGCCCGCATGCCCCGGCGGCGCACATCCACGGACAAACCGAGCCCACACCACTCCCGGCCTTTGCGGTGGCCCCCGGCCGGCATGCAACGCCCGGCGCAAGTCCAAAAAGGTCTCGGGGATTCGGCAGCACAAATATTTGGGCCCCATGGAGCGCTGCCGAACATCCATCGGTAATACCGTGACCGGGATAACGTGCCGAGCGGGCCAGCGCAGCTTCCTCTAGCCATTTTGTCACAACCACCCCCCCTGGGGGGCGGGGGGGGGGGAATGCGCTACGTGCGCCCCTCGGGCGTGCTCGGCAGGACACATTTGCCCGGAGCCTGCGTTGGTGTCTAGCAAATGCGCGGAACCGGCCACAGGTACCGATCCCCGCCCTCCCTGCCCCTTGCCCCCCCCCCCCCCCC